TTATCCTGGTCTTTGAATACGATGAAGGGAGATGGATTGAATTTAGGAAGGTTTTCGTGTGTGCCTTACCTTTGAACTCTTACTAAGCAATGTTTGCTTCTTGGAAGAGTTTCTCAAAGGGCATACTTGTGACATATTCCAGTGAAGATTTGTTAGGTTCAGTGGGGAATTCTTGCCTTTCAGAGAATTCTGAGTAGCTAGTTGCTCGATATCTAGAGCATTTGCCGTCCATATGGGATGCTAACATTGAAGTTGACTTCATTTGGAGCAAGGACTTGAACTCGATTCTCCTAGATAAGTGCTTTGCTGCTGTTTATTTATGCTCTCAAAGGCAGTTCTTCCTTTCTAATGTAGAAGGAAGACAAATGTCTGAGACTTCACTTTGTCACAAAATTGGGTTCTTGTCTCCGGGCCAGCCTTGCTTTGTAAATGTCATTCAGAGCACTTAACAGTGCTTAGCAAAGAGTTGCTATGGGAAAAGCCTAGATAAAAATCTCTTAAATTGAAATGAAAAAGTAATTTGAGGATGTTTTCTGCCAATCAAGTTGTTCTTACTTACTGAAGAGAACACAGTAGGGGTTCCTCTGTCTACTTTCACTTACAGAAAGTCCATGGGAATATTTTGTCAGATAAGCACAATATATTCTTGTATTAAGTGGGTAATGTTTCAGTGCTTCGGGATTCAATTCACTTAGCTTAAGGCAAAAAGTAAAATAAAATGCATTGCTACTTATGTACTCTTGAGGCATATGTAATGCAAATATAATGCTTTAGCTTCGGGCTAAAACTTGTAGCAATCAAGTGCTAGACCTGGTTGTCCATCTCAATCCTGTGAGGAAAGTTTGCAGGTCTAATGATAATTCCAGCATGTTTCTGAGCACAGACAGATAATATGCAGGTGTATATTCCATCCTAACATTTAGGTGAACCAATAATGGCAGCTGTCTTGCCTTACTGGGGTATTTTTTTTGGGGGGAGTGAGGGAGGAAGAGGAGATTGGATTAAAGCAATAGATAAAAATTCCATGTAAAGTTGGGGGAAAGGTGCTTCATGAACTTTGTGAACAGTATATGTTTTTTTTTCTTGACAAAACATGCACACAAAATGGTTCCAGAAGCCCTAGGTCAAGGGAAAGATAGCAGGGAGCTTGGAGGTTGGATAAAGGCTGTGAGGATATCATTAACAAAGGGAATTTCTTTTGTGACCGGAGAGGATGAGCAGAATTTGTTGCAGCACTGGCAATGAGTTGGCTGGAGACAGAGAACTACTTGCAAGCAGAGAGTGGATGATGTTTTAATTGCGTTCAAACTTCTCTTGAGGTGTTTTTTTTTTTTTCTCCAAGCCTTTTGGTCATCTGTAAACAGTACTGTCTAGAAGACCCAGGCAGTTTCACCTCAGTGCTCTGGTTTGTAGCCCTGTTGCAAATACAGGAGCAGGGCAGCAAGAGGTAACAGTAGCTTTCCCATTTAATACCACGGATGGGATTACTCTCTGCTACTGTTCTGGGGGTCATAGAAAATGCCTGCCTGTTGTAGCTTAAGGCTGCCTCTCATCTTTGGTATACGTGCAGTGCTTGTACAAGATCCGTTGAGCCTCTCAGAAGCAGATGATGATGGTGCTACTGGTTCAGTCTAACTCTTGCCCTCTCTGAGCAAAGATTCTGTCCACCCTGATGTGTCAATCAACAATCTGTTCTTTACTAACTATAGTTTTATGCCTCTCTACATCTTTTTTTTTTTTTTTTTGCACTGCATAGAACAAATGATTAGTCTGTTTTTCACTTAAAATTTCTTGGAATTTATTTGTGCTGCAGGAGGGGTGAAGTGTTACATGGGAGGCATGTAACAGCCCCTCAGCTGCTTCTTACTTTCTCAGTGTAGATACAAGTGGAGGATGATTCCCATATCAAAAAGGACAAAGAGAGAGACTCGGATTCATTCCTTTTAAGTGAGGAGAAAGGGGGATGTAGGTGCAGAAGAGAGAGGACTCCTGCCTACCCATCACTAGCTTTCAGTCTTTTTCACCCTATGGCTTTGTGGCCTGTTTTCCTTCTTTTCTCTACCAGCCTGAATTTATCCTTTTTTCTGCTCTGATCTCATCCTAATCCTCCTAGTACACAATCACATGGGTAGTTAAGTTTTAAGGATAGTAGAATTACAGTGCCCCTACTAACATCCACCCACTTGTGGTGGGAAACACCATTGGTGACAAACTCGTCCCTCTTTCTTTCCTCTTCTCGTAACTTCTGGCCAAAGGAAGGTTTTCAACTGGTTTCTGCTAGTGCAGAGTCGGATTCAAGAAACATCTCCCCTCCCCACCTCCCTGAAATGCAGACATGTGATGTTTTCAGTGTGCAGGGTAGTGTGTTTGTGGTGGCAGTGGAAAACCTGTCTTAAACACTGGTAGATAATGCCATACAATAGTGAATAGGATCGCTGTGGATAGTTAGAACCATAGTCTGAACCACCACTGCAGGGAATGTTGCTACGTCTTTTCAGACCATTGGATCATTGGTTTTATTGTCATGCCTATGTCGCCTCAGAGTGTTTCCTTTAAAATTAGATGTTGCGCTTAAAGAAGATTTTTCAACCTTGCCACACCAAGAGCTCTTTACTTTTTTTTTTTCTTTGAATACGATATATAGGTAAATAAAAGTTTGCTTACTTAAAGCATGAGTTGGGTAAGGCATTTTGTTGCAAATCTCTTGGAAATGGATAAATTGTACCCTTTGTGTTGTACTTAGGCCTAATATTGTAGTTCTGGCAATTTCACTAGTCACAGACTGTGTAAGCAGCGTATCTGGTCTCTTAACGGTCACTGGGACTTTCTTGGCATGGTGCACACAGAGAAGCTCTCAAGACGTACACGCTGTATGTGATAGTTTAACGCATCCATGAGTAGGACACTTTTAAATTTTACATGCTTTGTGACTGCCTATAGAAAACAACTGATAGAAGCTTTTGTTTAGGAGCAGTTAATCACATTAAGAACATGTAGACATGGAAATGACCTGCAAGATCATTTCTTAACGTCTTCTGAAGAAGACTACTTTTTTTTTTTTTTTTTTAATGGGGGGACACAGGGAGAAGCAGGTCATGGGTTGCTTCAAGATGGCCTTAGCTGCAAAAGACAGCAACAATCTAGTTTGTATGTACAGTCACATTTCCTTCTCTTTGCCTTCAGTGTTTCATTTGCTAATCCCCTCGTTTTCCTCTCCAGACAGTTCTTGGACATGTACGTAAGGGTACTGTTACACTTTCCACATTGAAAAAAGTACAGAAAGCAACTGCAAGTTTTTTTAATATATTTATTTAATCTGCAGTAAAAAAAAAAAAGAACCGACTTTTCTAAGCCTATGAATGACGTACTTCTAAAACAACATAACAATCAAGGTCATTTTCATTTTAAAAAGCAGAAACTCAAATTTAACAGGCCTTGAAATCCCTCTTTAAGAAGTTTTTAATTTAAATATTTCAAAGCCAGTCTGTTCTTCAGATTAAGGGAAGGTGAAGTTTATATTAAAAAAAGCTACAGTAGAACAAAATACTGAATTCTATTTTCATCTTATTCTCATTTAACACTTTGCTTTTTAGATACGCAGTTTAGCATTCCACATGGTTGTCTTTATTTTCTTTAAGCCACGATTATGTCAAATTAATTCCTCTTTTCTCTGTGTCATGCAGTGTTAATAACATTACTAGGCTTGCAACATCTCAAGAGCTGTTTAGTCACAAAAATGAATGCTCCAGAAAGTGAACTTTAAGAAAAATTGGGCCATTCTGTTCATAAAGCCCATGTATGGGTTCCATATGAGCTCCATAAACTCAGTAGAAGGGTTCAAGACATAGAGTAGGGATGAAGGCAGTGTAATACCTCTATCTTTGTTTTTCAAGGCTGGAAATCCTAAGTCGTTCCATCTTTGTGAGTGTTTCAGCTTAGTACCTTCCTTAGAGATTTAATAAGTAATAGGATCAATCTCAATAATTGCAGAGTTTGCCTAAGCAAAAATGGGTGAGGTTAGAACCCTCCTTTTCTTTTTTTTCTTTCTCTTTTTTTCTCCTAATAGGTAAGCAGTTTCTCTTGCGGAGAATGGAGCTTAGCTTCAGTGAAGCTAAAGGAGCAAGTATGAATGGCTGCTATCCATGTGGAATAAAGAAGGGTTGTAATCTTGTGTCAAAAGTGTCTCGTTCAAGGATTTATAAATATAGTGTCTGTTGTAGATTCTGAAGGGTCTCAAGACTCTTAGGTCTGCAACTGCATGTAAATACTTTTGCCATAGTAGCTGATAGCAGATACTTGTTAGGCACTAGAGTGGTATCATGGATACAAGATTCTTGATGCTGGGGCTTCTTTGATGTTGGGATGTGTGAAGGGTTTTGATTCTGTGGCCACGCACGTTCCCTTCCGCAGCCCCTTTGCCTGCCGTTTGTTTCCGATTTAGCACAATGTGCACTTTCCTGTGTCCCCTGGAGCAGCTTTGTGGGAAAGGTATGCTGTAATTGGTTTATAACCATTCATAATGACCTGGCAGCTCGGTGTGAATAGCAACGGGGAGCGACTTAACTTGTGATTTATTTAAGTAAGCTACATGGATGAAAGGTACTCCCAAGTGTACCAGTTGAGCTAGTTGCCTAATTGGACGTAAATTTTCACATGTAGCTGGGAAAAAGAGGGTTTTGTTATGAAAGGCTGAATTTGGATTTATGAGCAAGCTTCTGGACTGCTAAACCAGTTTGTAAGCAAAGTTTACTATTGTCTTTTATTGGGATGTCTTAGTTTTTGAATTCAGTAAGTGCTAGTATACCCTCATCATTTGTAAAGCTAATGGAATATTAACTTAAGGTTTTTGTTTACAGATAGGATATCTGACCTTGCTTTTGGTGCAGTAACACACACTTGGATTTGGAAAGACAGGATTGCTACTGCTGCTTTGGTTGAGGTCTTTTTCCAGTTTATCATTGCGTTCCTGCTTGTTTCGTCAAGGCTCTGATAGCTTTTTCTCACACAACACCCATGATACGAGCAACCCACCAGCTGCAGGGCATGATGATGCGGCAGGCGGTACGACAGCCTTGGTAGTTGTAGGGCCAGGGGTAGTAGCCCAGGAGAGGCTCGCAGATTCTCTGGCACTGCGTGTAACTCCGTCTGCATTCAATGCAGCACACGCCAAGGTGATCCAGCATGGGGTCAAAAGCCATCCCTTCACCTTCCAGTTGCTGAAATGTAAAATATTAAATGTCATCTTGGTGCCCCCGTTCTCAGAGAATGTAGAATATACTGATGCTCCTTTTAACCCTACAAAGAGTAAAAACTGAAGTCTTGGTCCTGTTGAAGCTAGCAGAACTCCCACTAACTGACCCGTGCATCTTGCTTTATTTTTTTTTCTTTTGTCTTGCTCTGTTTGGTAGAAGTGTAGAATTGGTGCAATCCAACCCGTGTAAAATGGAAAGAAACAACAGGGAGCTCTAACTTCATTATTTTCCTTCTACAGTCCTCGCGAAAGATCCAGTAGCAGTAAACTCCCAAGTTTTAAATATTACTGATGGAAAATATTTCAAGACAGTTAATCTGGGTCTTTTATGTAGATGACAATGTCTGAAGTGTATGCTGTGTTTTTAATGTTTTGTTTTAATTTTTTGTATTTTAATGCCTTTTTCAGCATTCCCAGGAAACTATTCAGTAAGCTATTACCTTGCAGTTTTCTGAATATTTCTCCCTTGTTTTTTACTCTGCCTTTTTTAAACTCTCTGCCACACTTAGGTGCATCATGGACAGTGAGAATTCTGCCTGTTCTGTATCTGACAGTAAGGAGTTACATGGAGCAAGGCATGCATAAAATACGTAAAAGCAGGCTCTTGCTGCTGCCTTCACCCTTCAAAATTCCTTTCCTCCTTTCTGAGGAAAAAAGTAACCTGGATATTCTGCTTTTTGAAACTCATTTGTTCTTTTCCCATTGCTGTTATTTCAAGAAAAGCAGCAGCAAAGGGCAAATGTCGGAATAACACTTGGCTGTTTACCTGAGCATTTTTCATTCAGAAAACTAGCAACACACCAAAAAGGTGAGGCACAGAAAGGTGCCATCCCTTGTCTGGACTTGCATAGGATGCTAGTGACAGCTCGGTGTTACGGCTCCCAGCAATCCGTTCCCAGCCCTGAGAGCTGGGAGGGTGTCATTTCTTTGGGCAGGATTCATCTTCCTTGAATTCAGGTATCTGCATTGTGACCTTCTACACCTGAGCTCATCATCCAGACTCCACTCATAGTGGAGTGGAGAGAAATAGATCTAAGGAGGATTAATTTCATCCTACAGGAAAGACCTACAGTATCATTAGTGGTCCTTCGGAACTGAACGAATCTGCCTCTAAAGACAGCTTGGATACAGGCATCTACGCAATAACTGTTGGTGAAGGTGAATCCCGCTCTGCAGACGAAGGGAAGACTGGTGACCATATCTGACGGGACCTTTTCCGTTTGGCCCAGGGTCCCTCTGGCTGGAAGAAGGGACCTGCAGCAGTCATTCTGCCACTGCCCTCCAGAGACAAGGCAGCTTGGACGCCATGGATGTCGTCATGTTAGTAGCTGTGAGTGGAAGTTACATTCCAGTGCTGCTGCAGTTTTACTGACCTCATGAGAGAGTCGATTTAGATCCACTTTATTTGGAGTGATTAATTTAAGTTTAATTAAGGGATGTCAACTCGGCAAACGCTGTCACAGTATAATGATCTCCTGCTGTTGCGTAAATGTCAAGTCAAAGCTGGGACTTATTTCCAAAGCAGGAGGCATTTATCTTGTGACAGTGTTGTATTAAAATGACTTACTCCTGCTGCACCAAATGGTGGGTGTAAATTGTCTGGCGCTGGTGCAGTAGACTGGAAGGTGCCTACTGTACAGCCAGTTTTCCTGCAGCGCGGCAAAGGTGTTGGGACACAGCAGGGAGGCTCCTGTGCTCTTTCTGTGGGCTGCTCCGTCTCGGAGAGCAAGAACAAATTTCGTGATACTCATCCTCCACCCACTGTTGCTGTCTCTAAACAGGTCTCCTCTGTGAATTGCTTGCTAGACTAGGGCCGTGAGAAAACAGATTTATTTGGCCTAACCCCAGTCTCATTGCAACCAGAAGCTACTGCTTTCCTCCGTCACTTCTGATGCTAATTTCTATGTGGGGGCAAAGTATGTTTCTGGCTACTGGGCTCTATCTTTACATTGTGAAATGATGGAGTTCAGCTGTCTGATCAAGATGAGCTTTGGCTTGTTTGCAGAAGGTGCTATCCTTGTTGGATCTCTCTAGTGCTGCTTCTATATGGACCTGAACTCTGAAAAGCAACTTGGCGTCGATTTGCTGTAAACTTGCCACCGCAAGCACTTGTGCTTGTTTCAGACTGAAGTCTAATGACAACTGGGGGTGAGCAAGGGAGAAGAGGACTGGGGGAAGACTTTTTTTGAACTTAGATGATGTTTTTCAAGTCTCTACTTTTAGAGAAAAGCTGAACAGGCAAAGATTGCACAGATTAAAAAAAAAAAAAAAAAAACCAGACAAAAAAACAACAACAGACAAACCCTACATCACTGGTATTACCTGTCTCCAGCAGTCTTGGGCTCTGAAAGATGACAGTGCAAATACTTACATTATATGGGTTGTCTGGATTAAGTGTTTGGTCGGTTTCTTGTCCCATTGGCCTGGTTTCATTAGATTGGTGATCAAGCTCTTGAGTCAGCTGTGTGGTGGGTGACCTGGTGTTTACTTCTTCAGTAGCACCTTCCAAGTCTTCTGTGTCAAAGTTTGATTCTGATTGGCGTTTGTTTCTCTTCATTTCTCTCCGTTGGTTATCTGAAGAAATAATCACAAGAGGATAATCTGCTCTTCAATGCATCCTTGTATTTATCCACACTTTATCTAAGGTTTCAGTGATTTCTTTAGATATTAAAATAGGCAGGAGGAGGGGAGAGAGAAAGAAAAATGAAACTGTGTGGTGGCGAACTTGATGAGCGTTCCCATGGGAGCTGCTTGCCTTCTTGTATTGTATCTGCAGCCAATGTCAATCCAAAGGGGTGTGAGACTGACTTTCCCCCCTCTTCCTCTCTTTGAGGCAAAACAGGTGTGAGGAGGTGCTTTTGTGACAGACTGGTGCCCTGCTTCCAAGGGCAGCTGGTGAACCTGGTGGAAACAGTTTCTGGACAGCTTTGATACTGCTTTTTTGTTGCCCAGTGGAATAAGAAAGCTCATGAGAAAAGTGGAAAATATTGACAGTTTGGATCCACAGGGGCTCTAATATCTCTAAAATGTCTTCCCCTTCCCCCCCCC